AATTACTTCAATTGTTGAATGCAAATGTTAATATAATTATCATGACCTTTTCTAGTTAACATTCTTCGGCAAAAATGCATTCTAATTTATTTTAAGGTATTAATTTAATATTAAGTAGTTTTTCATTTATTTTTTATTTTTCAAATATAGTTAAAAATTCGATTTAACAGCATGTAGTTTAAACTATAACTAATGATAATGCTCACAGTCATTAAAATTTTTTATTGATATGGCTATTTAAATGTATTTTTGATTTAAATTTTTATATAAACAAAAATATAATCACTTATTGTGGTAGGAATTTTAAATTATTTCTAAGTATATTTTCAGTTTTACGTCACTATCTGAAAACGAATGAAAAAATCGAAAAACCATACTAACTTGGTGTACCATTTTTTTCAAAAAAATTTGCCAACCTATAAATTTGTAGAGGACATTATCCAAACATTTTGGAGATTTAATTAAATTTCGGTGAGCAATTTCTAAAATATAAAATCTATTTGTCATTTTTCCTACGTAATTTTAACTTTGTGGTTATATTGAGGAACCTAAAATTTAAAAACGAGTAGAGATTGTTTCGAAAGTTGATATTTTAATATTATTTTATTTTTAACGTTTATTTTATGTGATATTAGTACATAACATTTATAACACATTCATATTATGTTAATTTATACATTATGTATATTGTACGTAAAAAATGAAATAATTGAATTATTATTTTGAAAATTGAACCTGATTTGCATATTCTAAGTACCTACGACATTTTTATGGTAGACCAATGTATATTTGTATATATATATATATTATTTATGTTTTGTAATTGTAAATACCATATTTTTTTAAATTGTTTTTGTTTACCTACCAACTCGACAGCACCTGGTGCTGTATCTATTAACTGTAATACGAACTGATTTTGTCTAAGGATATTACCATTTTAAATACATTTATCTGTGATCAATAATTGCACCTAAATAGTTTTTTTTTCAATTATTTGGTTACAAAATAATGTATGTGTACATTTTATTTTACATCATTAACATTTATTCTATCATCACCACAATATTGTCGGTGATGCGACTGCCAATACATGGGACTTAATATTTATTATATTGTATTATCATTACGTATTCAAATAGTTAAATTTTTACTATAGTAAAGTTAGTTAAAATAAGTGCCCATATTTATTTACTATAGGACTTACATTTTAGAGCCCCAAATTAAATTTTGAGGTAGGAGGGTGCACAGGCACACCCGGAACCACCCGTGCGCGCTCCTATGATCATATACAATTCACGTGTCTACATATTTTATACTTTTTATACGTATCTACATTGCATTGCACCTAATTACTATATAAATCTCTCATAATATGTGCTGAAATGGTATACAAAGACGTAAAGTTATTTTTTACAAACAAACCCGTTCTCATTGGACTCACGATTTATTGACTTATTTGCCTATTGGACTCTAAACGAGTCGCTCCGATTTACACGCAGGTATTTACCACCACATCACAAAAAATCGTCTACTTACCTTACTACACTAGTTAACAGGAGACTTTAACAATTTGATGGATATCTATCAACATTTAATGGTAGATATTAAATTATAAATAAATTGAAGATTAAATGTACGCATTTCTATTTAACCCGTTTACAGTTTTATTATTATTGTTTAACCCATACACCAAATTATTACGTTAAATTTTTATTATTATGGTTATAATTTATAATTTTATATATAACGTTTGTATTCATTGTACCGTGATATAATACATATACATCTACATATATGTAATGCATACTTACTCAGTTGAAATTTCAATTGATATTTTTGGTATAATCAAAATTTTCGAAAAAATAATATGTGTACGTATTTAAATTGTTGTATGAATCTTTGCATTTGTATCCCTAGTCAAACAATTAGTAGTGGTGACAATTTGTTTCGATGACGGTCGCTTGATAATATAATGTATAAATAATATGCTGTTAATGTTGTATGCTATAGACCATTCTGTTGTTCGTTAAAATATATATACCTGCGCACTAATGGCAAGACGGAAAATGTATACGAAATTAGTAGCTGTATCAATTTTAATAAATTTACCCAAAACCTATTAGTATCGCTTTGTCGTCCGTAGAGAGCACAGTGAATGCGTTGCAGACCTCTCAAAACCGCTCCTAATTCGATGTAATTTAATCGTAAGTAAAATATGAAAACTAAATTATTGAAAATAATTGCTGCAGACATATGAAAAAATAAATAGACAGTTTATTTGGAATACGGAACACGTATTAGATTCACAAGTGTTTTATTTTCGTATTATGCTATTCCTTAGGTACATATAAAAATGCGAATTAGTCTTAAATAATTTTAAAAAAAATGGCCATACAAATAATAATAGTCTTAAATTAAATCATAATTTTTTTCTAAAAATTATTTATCCGATTAATGAAACCACTTTAAAATGTTATGATCATAGGCGAAACTAAGGATCAGGACAGTCAGATTATGGCCCGACCTAATAACGGCTGAATATCATACTGACATAGTAGTCAGTAGAGTTTAAAATTAAAATTGAAAACATAATTTCCGCATCTTAAACGCCTTCTATAATGTTCTGTTTAAATAAGTACATATACGTAATGCACGGGTACTTGTACTTGTAACTCGTACTTGGTGCATTTATACTGCATACGAATTCCGTCCCTAATAACGAAAATGTACGTCGCTACAGCCGAGTTGCGTTCGCGGTTTTTGCACGACACGTTCAAGTCGCCTCTACAGTTGTTCGATAACTGTTCGCAAATATGATATAGGTATATAAAGAAGTCTATATACTTGGATATAAGCTCGTAGATTACATCGATTATCAATCGATACTTTATTCGTAGATCGCACCTTACCGTTAATTGATAGAAATTCATTTTTCACGTGTTAATTTAGTAGCATTAGTTTCGATGCGACATTCACTTAAATTATTCAACGTACATTTGGACATAAACACCACTGACTATAAATGCTATTATAGAATTACAGTAATTATAATCAATAATGATATTTTTTATTTCAACATCACAACATTAATATAATAATGAAAAATCTTGAAATTATTAGTATTTAGTGAAAAAAATAAACAATATTAATTGTATTAATGGATACACATTTTCTTTCAAAGAATTTTTCAAATGATTAAGGAGAATTGCATTCGACGATAACAAATTTTGGTGTGATAATAACTAACAAAAACCAAATTTACGAAAGAAAATCGAGGACGCAATTCAGACGTGTTGTGCAAAAACAGTGGACAAAACTAGGTAAAAAATATTATTCATGGACGCAATTCGAATGCGCCGATTTATACATGACATTATTTATACTTATTTATCATTTGGCCGTCCTAATAAAATTGTCGAGTTTCGCCTACGGTTATAATGCTCTTGGTTATTATCAAGGCTCGGAACTTTAGGCATTTGCATATTCGTTTAAAAAGTGCATATTGAAGTTTTGGTTCGATACAAATTCGATCCATAGTACGCAGATGGAAATAATATGGACATAATTTTACATATCTCGTTATTTGTTGAAGAACTTTTATATGCATAGATTTAACGAAAAAAGTTTTTTTTTTTTTTTTACAAATTTATAGTTTATAAAATAAAAGCAATAATATAAAAAAGTAATAATAAAAGTAATAATGATAATAATAATAATAATAATAATAATAATAATAATAATAATAATAATAATTATTATATTTTAATCAAAATTGAATACTAAATTCGAATATAATAAGGTAGCTAATAATAATATATGTACTATAAAATAATGGCAAAAATAACAGGAACGCAAAAAATAAAAAGCAAATTGACGAAACAGTTAAAATCAAACAAGCGTCGTTGGCATTCGCAGCAATCGTCATACGGCCCGCAGTTGCTTCACGACACATCCCCCTCTTTAAAATTGGTTCTGTTAATCAATCGGGCGTCCTCATTGATAATCAAACGTGTAACGGTATTATGGCAAGGGGATGTAACGGTCAACCTAGAGTATAAGATAACAAAAATTAAGGTGATCTTAAATGTTTTCGAAACCGCTCCATTAGAGCAACCAGAACGGACCTGTACACACACACACATACGTAATGTAACCAAATCGTATGACTCAATAGAACCTAACATTAAATGCATATTTCACAATATAAAACCACTTATTTTTAAGAAAAATTTAACCATCCTCCCCCCCCCCAAACAAAAATAACCTAACCCCACACAAAATATTTTAAAATACGCTACTGGATCCATATTCCGAACACGTAGCCGTACATAGGAGTCCCGTGTCCACTCATCATTTATAAAAACTGGTTAAAAATGAATCAGTCGCCTACGGTCGATATTGTGCTACGATTAACGCTCGTCGGATGCGCCTAGCCGACGACGACTACTGTGGTCATTTGTTTTTTACAAATCGGATGGTGGCGACGAACGATCATTTTATGCGACATGGCATAGACAAGAGTAGGTTTTTAAAAACACGTGCACGTAAACAACAATAGTCGATCACTGTACAATAAAATATATATTATAACCTACCGAAAAGGACACTACTCTTTTACCGGGCTTTAATCGTCGCTCTGATACCACAAATTTTCGGACCCGGGCGTTACGTTGACCTTTATTTATCACCACTTGTAAATAAATATTAAACAACATTTATTTTACCACTTAATTAAATATGGCATTGTTTTTGATCAGCGTTCACCAACATTTTTGTTTGCTACACGTGTAACATGCGTGCGCCCTTGACCACTGGCCAGAGGTTCGCGTACCCCTGCCATCCATCAGTTCCATGATTTTTTTTTGTTCTTGCTGGTATAATTACGATTATCATGTAATAATACTATAAATACAGTTTTATTACACTGTAATATTGAAAAAAAACTTACAGAAATATAACCAACAAAAATATAGACAATAAACGCCATTTTTCATTTACAGATACAAAGATGGGTGATAACGGTCAATCTGCTGCAATCATAGATAACACGCCATTCTCGTACTCTGCGTTGGACTCGATGCAGAGCCGCTTAATCGCTTTTGAGGCTGCCTGGGAAGAAAATCGACGTAGAAAGAGAATTGGCCGTCCTATAGCATACGTCAAACCAACCCCAAGACCGTCCCTAAAGCCTATGTTTTCATTGCAGTCACGTCGTTGCTGATTCAATCAACTTGACTAATTAATTAAATGTAATCATATTAAAAGAAATAACCATGCGAATAACAATGTATGTAATAAATTATTTTAGATATATTTTAAACAATAAAGGATTAAAAATATAAGTATATGTAATACATATATGTATGTATTTTTTTATATATTGAATATTCGATAAAAATTTCGATTAATATTAAAAGTATGTATAATTTTTATTTTTATTTATTGAACAACGGTATATTTTATATTTATTATTATTTATTATTATTATTATTTAATACTATTGAAAGAAGAAGAATCAGTGAATCCTACCAATATGCATAAATACTGTTTACGAGATAAAAAAAACGACTGTAAATATATTGAAAAGAAAAGTGAAAATTACTGCTTAATGATATGCAAACATCAGTGGCGTATTAAGAATTATTTTTACTATGGATCAATTTACCATCAACATAGCAAAAATTAACATTTATTTATAGGGCCAGGTGGTTGTAATTATGATATGAATAATACAAATAGAGATTGTGGAATTCTGGTTTTTAAATACATGTTTAGGTATTATTAGACTATATAATAGTTTAAGCATTCTTCAACATTAGGTAGACTGATGTTAAAATCAATAAATGATGGTGACCCGCCACCTGAAGTATTAATTAACGACATTTCCAGTGCGAGTGGATTGCCAATTTTTATAAAAAGTAGACTCAACATATATAAACTATTTCCTTAATACTTAGAGATATGTTACGTTGAACAATGGAAATCCTGAGAATCTAACGTTTCCTTGTCGGTAACTCGAAAATTATTTAAGTTAATCTAGTGCTGAAAACACTATCAATCAGTATATAGTAATGAACATTTATTTTTATTTATTTTAATAATAAATATTACATATAAATATAACATAATCTATCATTTAATAGGCCTCTACTGAGTAAACATTTTTTACAATTTAACAAAGTAACAGATTTGTATGAAAAAATTCGTATCGTGAGATATTGTAAACAGAGATCGAAAAAAAATATGCAGTACCAAATCAAGTCACGGATTACGATGAGATTGAATTACTGTTTTCATCGTAACTTAAGAAATACCACTGTAGAGACTTGACATTTTCAACGAATACTTATATCATTGTTTTCTATAGTTGGTATAATTTTCAAAAACAATTTTGAGCAATTTTAAAAAAGTAGACATTTTCATATTTTCTTAGTTTTTTTTTTTTTTTTTTTGAAAATGCCAAAAGAATAACTATGGTTTGACAAAATGTTCTGAAACGATAAAAATTATGAAATTCGACTACATTTTTGTAGTCCAAAATTCAAAAATTTTTAAAATGTCCAGTTCTTATGCTTTAAGTATAAAAAAAAATAGGCACAATATTTATTATATGATTTTCTATGTACCGAAAAAACTAAATAGTCGCAAAACTGAAAGTTTGCCACAACTTTCAATACAAAACTGAATATTATAACAAATTTAACGTAGCATGTGATTTAATTAAAAACCTTTTATTGATTCCAATTATTTTAATTAAGTTTATACTGTTTATAAGCATTCGAAGCTTTCAATTTTCCTAAATTGCAGGTGACTTGTTTTGTGAAAGTTGGAACAGGGAAAGCTTAACTTACTTACAACCATGAGGTATGAACAACATATAAGTGAATTAATGAGTAATTTTAATTATTATGAAATTCTGTAAAATATACATCAGTAAAATTATAGGGCGGATGTTCATGCTCTAAAATATTAAAATATATGGTTTATAAAAGTTAAATATACTAGATAAAGTATCATTATATACATGAAAAAAAGTAAAAACATCAAAATTGATGTGAAATGTATTTCCTCTAACTTATTTAAATGTGCATTGCACTGAATAAATATTATTTTTTAAATATTTTGACTGTTTTAGATTGAGAAATCTCTACACATCTTTATCAACATTATCTTTGTCAATAAAGACATAATTTAAAAAATAGCAAATTAAATGAAAAATAATTCAATGTTAAATTACCCATCTTATCCAGAAAAATCTATAGATAGCGAATATGCATAACTATACACAAATAAAATATAAATATGCAATGAGAGAAAAATTAATCGAAATATGCAAATATATAACACATAACAATTTTAACTTCATATTCTATAGGGTAAAAAATAAATTCCTATTCTACTCTGCAACTTTAATTATTAAAGGAAAAAATATGCTAATGCATGAATATTCGACCTTTAGTAATAACTATATCAGCCTATTTACTGTTCTCTATTTATTTACGTTCTGCTGTCCTGATAAATGGTAAGACATCCGGTATGTTGAAACTCGATGGTTAATAATATACACTGAATAGGTCAATTTTTTTATATTTATTTTACGTTTATACAATTATTTAGGAATATTCATAGTACGGAAATATTTTCTTGTCTATTATTAGTTTATTTTTCTAACATTTCTGTTTTCGAATATTTTTGTCTTATAATTTCTGTTTGTTTTCGTCCGTGTACTATTTTTATAATGTTTTTTTAATTCCATTATTGTGATGCTTAATTTTAGATTTGTGGATGAGAAGTGAGGGGAGAGGTGACTTTTAAATCGTCTCACTAAAAAAATACAACCAAAACCACCACTAGGTATCATATTACACTAAGGGTGAAAAACCTTTTTACTTACGCGGACCATATTTTTTATTAGCCTTTCACAAAATTAAAATAAACATCATTAAAAATACAATTTTAACATACAACGCTAATATATTTATGAATAGCAACAATCATATTGTAAGTTTCATATTACAAGATTAACCTTATTAATTAATTTTATATGAAGTACATTAATAGAGAAAATTTAATAAAATTATTAATCAATTTTTCAGGACAAAAATATATAAATATCAAGTTTCTAGTGTGATTTTTAAGGTTGAGTTTTTTCAGCTAATTCGTGTAAATCATCTTTCATGTTGGTTTTTGATGGATATCACATTATATGAGCACCGTTTAGAGTAATTCTATATTTTGGTGGTTAATTAATTACCAAAGTAATCAAGCAAATTAAACTACCTACAGTAAACCTGTCAATAGTACTATTTAAATATCAAAATAAATGTTAAACATTTATTAATATTTATTAAATTATCGTTTTGCGTAAGAAATTACTTAAAAATTATTCTTGTTATCTATTTACTATTTTGTGATTTAAATAAATTTTTTCAGATACCGATCGATGTACATACTCTGTTTTGGTAGCGTTCTACATGTTTTACTGCAACCAGTGAGTAGCCACCTATGGAATAAATACATTTATTTATTTCACTATTTAAATATTAACATGTTTATTTTTATTTCGTATTTTATTTTTTTTTTTTTTTAATATGTATAGATTTTTTTAAATCTATTTACATAATTATTACTCTGGTTGTTAGCATTTTAATGTCGACCAGAATATGTGAAACCCAATTTATCAAGTGTTTCGATAATGTAATTACAAAATACCTATATACGACTGCAGAGCCCTACCACGGTTGTCACGCGCAATGTCAATACCTGTACGGTATTACGCGCTACGCCGCTTGGTTTTGTGCGGTCGTATCGCGGTTACTACCGATCACCTGATCGTTCGTTATTAATTTATTTTTCTACAATCGACGAATCCGTTAGCGAAAAACGTTGGTAGCGTCCGTGTGGTGAATACAACAAAATAAAATAGTTTTCGATCAACAATTAGCACTTCAAACGAGTACAACGATCACATACCAATGCTGACACGTTATTCGAGTCCGACAAAAAAGTTTCGAAAACCGTAAAAGCTCGTGTACGGGAGCGCGAAAAACAACCGTTTTTTCGTTCGTCCGTCGTTGCAAGCCTGCGCAAAATGCATGCCGGACGAGCCAACAGGCGCGCACGAGACCCGCGCGAATTCGTGTTGGGACGAACAAGACAGAAATCGATGCCGACCGACGACGGTACAATACTATTTGAATGAACAGCCGCTCTCGCGTAACCGCGGTTTTTCCCGCTTAACGAACAGATCGCTTTTGTTCGTATCACAAGTCTATCGCAAAATCGGATTAACAATACCTAACCGTGACGGCGAGCTTTGTATTTTCGTTTTTCGAAATCTGTGAACATCCGTGTGTCGCATACGATAAACAAGCACTCAACTTGGTCGGAGAAACGTGAGTACCTAACATCGTCATGTGTCGTTAAAAAGATCGCGTGGATCGAGCTTATTATCTATTAGAAATGAAAAAAAATATAATCCTAATTAAGATAATAATCGTTCTATTTTTTTTTTTTTTTTTTTATGTAGACAAATAGCCGCAACACAGATTGCAAATAATCGTAATAATACACAATATGTAATGTTCTCGTTTATTTATCATAAGTGTTTTCATTTTTTATTATAATAAAATTAACATTAGTTATGATATTTCAATGAATTTTAATATTCAAATCGTAACAACAGTACAACTCGATATTTTAGCGCATGCTAAAATTTCGGCCATCTAACTATGAATCGTAATTCCTTAGATATACTCGTATATATTAATTAATCGCTCTCGTTTTTTATTCTTTTATTTATTATGGATACAATAATACGCGATCTATGATGAATCTCGATAAAAATATTATAAATAAGTAATACAATTTATTGAATCCGCATACTAGCAGTACCTACCTGCATTATAATTAAAAAATTGTATGATTAATTAATTTCTAGTGTTTAATAGATAGTAATAAATAATTAACCCATGTATAAACATCAAAAGTATTTTCAATTTGTTGTTAATGGTCGCGATAAAATTAGTTAAGCCTACGTGAACGCAATAGATGTCACTGCAAAATTTTTCATTCGACTTTGATAAATACCAATTTTCAACAACAGGAAAGTTTATACGGTGCATTCCGTGCATAATCTACTAATTACTATTGTTTTCGTGTATAGATGAAATGTTTTTAAATGTTTTAAAATGTTTAAAAAAATAAAAATGGGTTATTTTC